TCACTCGTGCTTTGCAGGTGGGTGAAGGTGGTACGGGATCTCACGTGGGTTTGTGGCTGCCCACTCTGTGCCTCTCTCGGTGTCTGTCACCTCACTTGGCTCTCATAGGCCTTTCCCAGATGGATTCTTCTTCCCTTGGTAGCACTGGGGAGTAGAATTTGTTTATTCATCCTGGAAACGGGGAAGGAAAAGGTTATAGCTCGTTATTTCCTTTGCAAAGTCATTTTTGCAGCCTGGGGTGATAGAAAAATCTCCCTGACTCACGAGCCCTCCCTGTTCTTCTCATTGTGTTGTCTTCTCCCGGGGTTTCTGAAGCGGTAGGTCGAGTCTGACTCACCGGTGTCACTGAGTAATGCCCTTGCTTTGATACAATCCTTTGCCTCTCCTCAAAAAAAAAAAAGGCATTTTTCCTTTCCACCACGCAAGGATGCTGGAGGCTGAGGCATTTCCATCCCTCTGAGGAATTTGTATTCCAAAAGGCTCACTGCGAGGTGTGGTGGAGGAAACTCACCCCTCCCTTGATGGGGCGCGTGATGTCACTGACCACCTGAACCACCCATCCTGGGAAAAACTGCCTTATTCCAGCTCGGCTTTTTGACTTTCACAGGGGGAAAAAAAAAAAAAAAGACCACACTGCGGGTGGGGGGAGAGGGAGGTGAGATCTTTGCCACTGGTCTCGGAAAGCGGGGTCGGGCGCTGAAGGGTGGGAGCGCGGAGGTACAGGAGGGTGTTTGAGGGCTCTGGGGGATGATCTTAATTTCTTCCCTGTTTGTACTTCCCTCCTTTCTTCAGGTGGACGAAATCTATCACGACGAGTCCCTGGGCGTTCACATCAACATCGTGCTGGTCAGGATGATCATGGTGGGGTACCGGCAGGTAAATAACATTGGGTGTGCTGGGCAGGACCTGCTGTGATGTTTAGCACTCAGATAAACCCTGGCTTGGAAAAATGTGGCTGTTCAGGTCAGCTGCTGAAGCCCAAGTGACAACTGTGCTGAGCAGGGATGAATCTGAACCCTCCCTGGCCTGGATTTCGGAGTCTGAAGGTCTGGAGAGTCCCATAGCTAAGGGGAGGTCCTTGGGGAGATGGTGGGTGGCGGGGATCTGCCCCTATCTGCTTGCTCTAGGACATGGGAAAAACCATGAGAGGCTTCCTCAGGAGCTCAAGGATAGATGATGAGGAAAAGGTAGCTTCCCAAATTAGAAGGAGCTGGACATTAGTGAGGAGAAGCCGAGGCCAGGATCTCCCATGTCCCAGCCTTGGCTTTGCTGGCCGTGCAGCTCTCAAGTGGCTTGGGCGTGGACAGAAGAAGCATGGGAAGGTTTCCTGGGAAGGTTTCTCAGGTTGGATTTATTTTTTAAGTCCTGTTCAAGCCTGGCAGCCAGAAGATTTTCTTTACAAGAGTGTGATTTTCCTGTTTTGGGGGCAAGCCCCTATCCCACACAAAGTGTTCTAGAGGGGTGTTAATGAGTCAACACGCTGATGTGTTTCTGTATGTGTGTGTGTGATCCACAAATAAGACACTTTAGGTTTTGGAAAGACCCCTCCTTGTTATAGAAATACACTCATCTGGCAGGAATCCAACAGATCTGGGGCTGGTTCTGAGGAAGAGGGACGAGGATGGAGGGTGGCTCGTTTTTGGAGGTTTCTATGGGACCAGCAACATCATCTCCACCTGAGAAAGCCAACGATTTGTCTGGCTTCCTCCCAGGGGTGCTTGTGCTCTGTGCTGGGGGATGATTTATGGAGGGGAAGGGATTTGGAGCCGTGGTGTTACGGCCAATAACCAGAGGGATGAGACCAGCCGGGCTCCCTTTAGGATGATTTATCCTCCCGAAAGCCGGCGCTGGAGGCAGCTGCTCCGTCCAGTTATGGGGGGGATGACGTAGGAAAATAACGAGCAGATGTTTGAATCCAGGCGAGCTCCCAGCTCACCACTCTTCAGACCTGAGTTCCTCCTGCGAGCTTCTTATCTCCCACCTGGAACTTCACAGGACAAAACCTTCCGTGGCTTCCAACTAAGGGCTTGGGGGGCTGGGGGGGAAAAAGAAGGGCAGTGTGTCTTTCTGCTTCCCAAACCGCTGAGTTTTCCATCCTTTTCCCAGTCGGTCAGCCTGATAGAGCGAGGGAACCCGTCCCGGAGCCTGGAGCAGGTGTGTCGCTGGGCCCACTCGCAGCAGCGCTCGGACCCGGAGCACGCCGAGCACCACGACCACGCCGTCTTCCTCACCAGGCAAGATTTTGGCCCCGCAGGTATGCAAGGTACTGTACTTATCTCGATCAGGTATGTGCAGTTTGCCGGGGGAGAAGCCAGCCAGGGGAGAGGATTTCTTGCAGGAACACAGTCTTGGCCAGCAAGGTCCAGAAAAAGGTTATAAAAATCGGTATATATATATATATATTTTATTCCCCCCTGCCACATGAAGTAGAAGAAAGACAGAACCAATCCAGAGCACCAACCTGTGAATGGATGAAATAATAGCTTTATTAGTTCTGCTCTTCTTTGATTTCGTGCACCAGTCCTCCTCCCATCCCAAAATGCCATAAAAATAAGATAAAAAAGATAAGACATCACAGGAAGTTTCGCTGAGACAGTCAATCCTTTCTGTCCTCTGGGGGACCTTTAAAACCTGGTTTTATATGGATTGGTTTCTTGGATGTGGGAGCATGGAATGAATCCTGGGCCAAAGAGGAGCTTTTACTGCAGGTGCAGAGGCTGTGCTGGTGTGGCCTGGGAAGTTAAAGACCTCAGCAAAAAAAAAGTTGCAGGAAAAGCTGCTGGTGTTTCTTGGCTCCGTTAGGAAAGCAGGTGCCTTGGTGTCACCGTGAGAGGTGACTTCTCCCAGTTCTGAGCCCACTGCCTCCAAATTGCCATCTCCTTCTTCCCACGCTGGTGGCCAGATCTGAATTTCCACCAGGAGGCTCCATTTGATGCCATGGACGTGGCAGTGACCTCGCGCTGATCGGTAGCACGAAATCCTCCTGTTGTGCATGGGAGGGAGGAGGGATGGAAAAGACCTGCCCCCACCTGGATTTCCCGCCTGAAGAGGATCTCCCCACAGTAGGAGATGAACCACAGGAGATATCCAGCTGGAAACCCTCTTGAATATGTTGTTGGCCACCAAAGAGCAGAGCCTGGGCTGTGCCAACACCCTCCTCACCGAGCTGTTGACCTGCCCTGGGCTCCCTGCCTGGGGTCGTGTGGCAGCGTGGGCAAAATACCGGGTTTTGTTTCATTTTTCTAGACCCTTCCTGGCAAAGTGACTGTGTCCAAAGTGACTGTGAGAGGACCTTTTTTGGCATGTCAGCAGAAGGGGGAGAAGACTCCCTCGGCTCCCCCTTGGTGGGAGCAGCCCTGCTCTAGGAGTGCTCGTTCCAGCTCCTTCCCCTTATCCCTGCGGATCCGGCTTCCTGCTTGTCACACATCCCTGGGATGGACCTTTGCTCTCTGCAGGAGTCCCCGTGGCTGCCCTGATCTCACCTGGCTGTGTTGCATGGCACGAGGTGCTGGGAACATCCACTGGGAACTACCCTCTGGCTGGGCTGCTGGAGTCGTAACACTTGGCTTACTCCTGCCTCTTTTCCTCAAAGCAAAGTCCTTTCGGATCCCTCTCACCCCTGCTGAGCTCGGGGCTGTGTGGAATGAAGGACCAGACCGTGGCACCTTCCAGTGCTTGCTTGTAAAGCTGGAAGAGGAAGGGCCAGTTGAACCTTCTTACCCTCCCGTGTGGGTTGCAGATAAACTCCTGTGCTTCAGAAAAGCAGTGGGTAGATGGGTTGTAAATTATTAATTACTGCTGCAGAAGTCTTGTCAATACCCGAAGAGTTTGTGTGTCCCTCTGCAGCGTGTGGCACGGAGAGATTTGTGGCACGGAGAGATTTCTGGCCCAGGCTGTGCATTTGTTGTCCTGTTATCCCCTGCGGTTGGCTCATCACCTTAGAGCAGGCTGGTGGTCCGTGCAGAAGGTCAGGGAAGCTGGAAAGGGGTAGGAAGTGTCCATAAAGAAGAATTCAGTGCATGTGGAAGGAGGAGGAGACTGGCTGGTGTCTTGCTGTGCTGGTGAGGAGAGATGATTGTTGGAATTAGATGATCTTTAAGGTCCCTTCCAACCCAGACCATTCCGTGATTCTGTGACATGCTGCTTCTCCTGACTGTGTATGTCTGGGAAGCATTTGCAGGCTATTCCAGTCTTTACCAATTAAATATTTTCCAGGTAGTTACTTCTCACCACTGTTCTCCTGTAGAGCACCGTCTCCCAGTTCTTACTGGGGTCTTCATTGTGAAAGACCAGTATCTGCGTTCCTGAGCATTCACCCATTCATATTCCTTTATCCCATCTGCTGTTCAGAGCCTCTTTGGTTAGGAATTTATCCCATTATCATCCTAGAAAAAATATATTTGCTCTTCCCTTACACAGAAAACTTCCCACATCCTTACTCTTCCTTGTGGAAGGTTTCATTGGCAGAGGGGGTGGAGAGGGGAATATTTTAAAATGATTTATCCAGGATTTGATTTATTACTGTGTGGTTAAACCCAGTTATGGGTGTGCCTTGGTGTGGAGCAAGTACCCCACCAGGACGGTGAGCTCTGTGGATCCCGTGGCTTGGCCGGGGTGGGTGCAGGAGGATGGGTGTGCAGTCACCCTCAGCTCATCACCACCCCTGCCCTGCTGCAGCTCAGCTCCTCCCTCTTGGCTCACAGGGCTCTCCCCTTGCAGCATCCTTATCCCCAGGGCACAGTTATCCAGCATGGTCCTGCCCTGCTTTTGCCTCTCGGACCTACAAGTCCTTCCTTCACTAACCCCCCTGATGCCAAAAAGGGTCGGTCTTAAAAAAAAACCCCAAAGCAATATTTATATCGAAAATATTCAGAAAGTAAATTCTGGAACGTGCCAACGAGTTGATTGAATTTGGGCAGAAATAACGTGAGGGGAAAAAAAAAAAAGAAAAAACCAAAGGAAAATGACCAAACTGGAGGTGATGTGATGCTGACTGGGAGGGGAAGGTTTCCCTGCCCACAGCTGCCCCACTGCACTGCACTTGATCGAGGGCCGGGGGCTGGGGCCGTGTGTGGTTCTGGGGGCACGTGTGGGGGCATCACAGGGGGGAGCAGGGCTGTGGTTCTGGCTGGGCTCTCTGGGAAACACCTCGTGCCTTCTGCTCTTTCTTTGTTCTTTATTAATTCTAAACGAGGAACAGTGCGGGGGGTGCCGTTGCTGGGCTGGGAGGTGCTGGTCACCCACACCCATAAAACACGCACGGGGTGCCCTCCTGCCCCTTTCTTTTTTTTTTTTTTTTTTTTCTTAATTTGTCATTTCCTCCCCCCTCCTCTCTCAAAGGTTTTCTCTCTCCTCTCCTCCTGTCTCCCCCCCTTCTCTCTTTGCCCCAGGCTACGCTCCGGTGACGGGGATGTGCCACCCTCTCCGCAGCTGCACCCTCAACCACGAGGACGGATTCTCCTCGGCGTTTGTGGTGGCCCACGAGACGGGGCACGTGTAAGTCTTGGGGGCAGAGTGGGCTGTGCCCCTTTGGCGGCGGTGGCAGCCCCTCACTTTGCACAGCAAGCTTTCTGCTGGTGCAGAAATCCCCCTTTCCCACCAGGTTGGGCATGGAGCACGACGGGCAGGGCAACCGCTGCGCCGACGAGACCAGCATGGGGAGCATCATGGCCCCGCTGGTCCAGGCCGCCTTCCACCGCTACCACTGGTCCCGCTGCAGCAAACAGGAGCTCAACCGCTACATCCAGTGAGTCAGCCCCGAGCCCTTCAAGTACCTAAAGGGGTTCCAGGAGAGCTGGAGAGGGAAATGGGACAAGCGATGGAGGGATAGGACAAGGGGGAATGGCTTCCCACTGACACAGGGCACAGTCAGATTAGAGATTAGGAGGAAATCCTTCCCTGTGAGGGTGGGCAGGCCCTGGCACAGGTTGCCCAGAGAAGCTGTGGCTGCCCCTGAATCCCTGGAAGTGTCCAAGGCCAGGCTGGACAGGGCTTTGAGCAACCTGGGCTGGTGGAATGTGCCCCTGCCCATGGCAGGGAGGTGGAATGAGACGATCTTCAAGGTCCCTTCCAACTGAAACCATTCCAGGATCCCACGATATAACTCAGACCTATCAAACCCTGAATTTAGAGAGAGGCCCGGAGCTGAGGGATGGGGGAGGCAGAGGGAGACACTCTATGCCTGACTCTGCCTCGTGTGCAGCTCCTACGACTGCCTCCTGGACGACCCCTTTGAGCACCAGTGGCCCACGCTGCCCGAGCTACCGGGCATCAACTACTCCATGGACGAGCAGTGCCGCTTCGACTTCGGCGTGGGCTACAAGACGTGCACGGCGGTGAGTACGGGTTGTACGGCCGCGCCGTGCCCCCTCCCCGGGGCCCCCCAGCCGGGCTGGGTGCCACGACCCCGCCGGCACTCGCCGCTGCCGTCCCAGCCCAGCCCCTCTGTGCTCCCCAGTTCCGCACCTTCGACCCCTGCAAGCAGCTGTGGTGCAGCCACCCGGACAACCCCTACTTCTGCAAGACCAAGAAGGGGCCACCCTTGGACGGGACAGAGTGCTCTCCGGGCAAGGTAGGGGCTGGTCCTGCTTCCTAGGGGAGGGGTGTGCCCGAGGGCACAATGAAGAGTGCCCTTCCTCCTGCGCTGCACCGTTCCTGCAGTCCTGTGGGTGTGGGAGAGCTCTTCACTGAGCACTTTGGAAGGGGCAGGTGTGGAGCTCGCCCCTCCCTCTCCTCCCTTCTAGTGGTGCTTCAAGGGCCACTGCATCTGGAAGACGTCGGAGCAGCCTTACAGTCAGGATGGCAGCTGGAGCTCCTGGTCCAAGTTCGGCTCGTGCTCCAGGACCTGCGGGGGAGGTGTGCGATCCCGCAGCCGGAGCTGCGACAACCCGCCGTACGTCCGGACCTCTCCTCCCTCCCTTTTAGCAGGGGGGGAAACTGGAAGTGGCCGAGAGCCAGGGGCTCCAGGCTCTTTCCCTGCGTTGGCAGGGATGGGTTCATCTGCTCCTGTGCGTTTGGGCGCTGAGCTGTGCTGGGTTGGAACACCCTCCCCTCTCCTGTGTTTTTATAACCCGCTGGATTTATTTTCCAGCCCGGCCTACGGTGGGCGCCACTGCCCGGGAGCCACCTATGAGTACCAGGTGTGCAACGCCGAGGAGTGCCCGGGGCCCTACCAGGACTTCCGTGCCCAGCAGTGCTCCAAGCGCAACTCCTACTACACCCACCAGAACAGCAAACATTCCTGGCTCCCCTACGAGCACCACGATGGTGAGTGGCGGCGGGTCCGGGCAAAGGAGCTGCAGCCAAACTGCCTCCCCTCCCAGAGGAGGCTGTGGCCGTCACCATGGGATGGAGGCTGTGCCAGCTGCACTGATGGTGGGTGGTGGGAAGAGGCTGAGCTGGAGGCTGCTGTGCATTAAGGCAGGTCTTGAAAATCGTAGAATCCTAGAATGGTTTGGGATGGAAGGGACCTTAAAGATCACCTCCTTCCACCCCCTGCCATGGGCAGGAACAGCTATCCCAGGTTGCTCCAAGCCCTGTCCAAACTGGCCTCGGACACTTCCAGAGATGGAGCAGCCACAGCTTCTCTGGGCAACCTGTGCCAGGGCCTCCCCACCCTCACAGGGAAGAGTTTTTTCCCCAGTATCCCATCTAACCCTGCCCTCTGTCAGTTTGAAGCCATTTCCCCTTGTCCTATCCTTCTGGGCACTTCCCCTTTTGTCCCAAATCACTCTCCAGCTCTCTTGGAGCCTCTTTAGGTATTGGGAGGAGCTGTAAGGTCTCCATGGAGCATTCTTTTCTCCGTGCTGAACATCCCCAGCTCTTCCCAGCCTGTCTCCATGGCAGAGCTACCTGTTTGCTCCTGGAGCTGCAGTGGGGAGTGTCTGCTCCAGGCTGGGCCAGGAGCCAGGGCCATCTTGCACTGCACTATCATGTAGTGTGTCCCGTTCTCCTCCTCATTTCCTGAATGTGCTGGGCAAAAGAGCAGGTTCTTGAGCAGCAAATGGACGTGGGAGATCAGACACGTGAATAACCCGGGCTTTGGAAATCTGGCTGTGCTCAGGAGTACGAGCTGAGATGGTTTTCATCCTTCACTCGCCCTAATGGATTTCCACAACCTCCCTTTTTTTCCCCCTTTCCCATCTCTTTTGCCGCAGATGCTCAGAAGTGTGAGCTGATCTGCCAGTCTGAGGGCACGGGGGACGTGGTGTTCATGAACCAGGTCGTCCACGACGGGACCCGGTGCAGCTACCGAGACCCCTACAGCATCTGCGTCCGGGGCGAGTGCGTGGTGAGGAGCTGCTGTGGGATTCTCCCTGTCCTTTCCCTCTCCAGGCCTGAGCCCTGTGCATGTCCTTGACCCACCACCCCCTGGGGACACATGTTTTAGCCCTGTGTGCAGCAGGGTGACGGGCTGGGCTGCAGGGGTGTAACCCTGGGCTTGTCTTCTCTTCCCCACGGGTGACAGCACGTGGGCTGTGACAAGGAGGTTGGCTCCCTGAAGCAGGATGACAAGTGTGGGGTCTGTGGGGGGGACAATTCCCACTGCCGGACAGTGAAGGGCACACTGGCCAAGACCCCCAAGCAGCCAGGTGAGAGTTTGGGGGCGGGTTCGGTCAGGCCCAGCTGGATCCACGTGTGCGTCCAGCTGGAACAAACCTGCTCTTTCTCTTCCTCCACCCTTTTTTCCCCGCTCTGTCTCAGCAGGTGTTTTGAAGATGTTTGAGATTCCAGCTGGAGCCAGGCACCTTCAGATAGAAGAGGTGGAGCCGGCATCCCACAGCATCAGTGAGTGCACCGTAGTCCACTTCTGCCTTTGCTCCTTCTCGGCCCTATTCCAATAACTCCCACCAAAAGGCATCTTATTTGGGTCATCCAGTCCTCCAAAGGCAGTGACCAGAAGGAAAGGTGCTGAAACACCTCCTTTCTCCTCCAGCTGTTAAGAATCAAGCCACGGGCAACTTCATTCTGAATGCCAAGGGCAAAGAAGCCAAAAGCCAAGTGTTCATTGAGATGGGCTTGGAGTGGGAATACACCGTTGAGCACGGCAAAGAGAGCCTGAAAACCAGCGGTCCCCTGCACGAGGCCATCAGTGTTTTGGTGAGGCTGACTGGGCGTGCTCTTGGAGGGTTTGGGGGTGACTGTCACAGAGAGGGCAAGGTGGAAAGTGGTGAAAGGACGTAGATAAAGAAAGGGGGTAGGGCATGTCATTAAATCCAGGGGATGAGGCAGCCAAAAGCGAGGGGTGATGGGCACAAAGAGGTGTTGCTTGGGCACTTGCCTCTGAGTCCAGCTGCGTTTGGCTCTGTGCAGCAACTGCTTATCATTCCATGTCCCGTTTTAGTTATGCTGGCATTTTGGGGGAGTTAGGGATTGGGTTCCCTGGGCACCCAGGGAAGAGCAGGTTTTTCGTTCCCGCTCACCCCGTGTGTCCCCCCCACCAAGTTTTGGGCATAGGTGACTATACAACGTGGTAATTTTATCCTTTGATGGCCTCCTCTTCCCTTCCCTCTCCCCCTCTGTGCCTGCAGGTCATCCCTCAGGAGGAGGAGACGAGGAGCAGCCTGATGTACAGGTACATCATCCACGAGGACCTGCTGCCCATGATCGGAAACAACAACGTCCTGCTCGAGGAGATGGATTCCTACGAGTGGGCCCTCAAGAGCTGGTCCCAGTGCTCCAAGGCGTGTGGAGGAGGTAGCTTTGCCTGGGGGGAATGCTTGGGCATGTTACAGGGTGTGGGAGCCCTCTGGGGAGCCTCTGGCTTGGAAAAATTGTTGCAGAGCAGTTTAGGTGAGCATTTTAGCCAGGTTTCTTACAGAAGCAGGCTTACATAGTCACGTGTGCATAACCTGTGTCTGTCTATTTGTGGGCCTGCTATGATTTTTTAATTCCTTGGCTGTTTTTAACTGGATTTGAGCCAAGGAATAGTGATCTTGCAGATGACTGGCTCCTCAAGTCTGCACAGACATAGGTGTGGACACACACCAGGAATTTCTGAGAGGGACAGCAGGTAGCACACAGGAGCTCCTGGCAGGATTATTGCCGGGTTTTTCCCTCTGGGAAGAAGCATGTGCACCCATACCCTGGTGTTTTGGGGTTTGCTGGTGAAAGCCTTGCTTCCATATGGCCAGTGGGATCTGATCCTCAAACAATGGGCAAGATGTTATAGAACTAGAGTATATTTTGGGTTGGATGGAGGTTATCTGGTCCAACCCCCCTGCAATGAGCAGGGACACCGGTGCCCTGTGGCATCCTGGGTTGACCCCAGGAGTCTGGGGGTGTTCCAGCATCCACGTGAGCATCCTCTGCGAGCCTGGGCGATGCACAGCTCGGGTCATGCCCCAGCGGTGACATCTGAGAGCCCACGTCCCTGCAGGGGAGATGCAGGAGAAGGGACCTGGCGGGGACCCCCCAAGTGTGACCCCCCCCCCCACTCATCACCCCCCCCAGGCATCCAGTACACCAAGTACGGCTGCCGTCGGAAAAGCGACAACCGGATGGTGCACAGAAACTTCTGTGACAACGGCAAGAAGCCCAAGCCGATCCGGCGGCGCTGCAACCTCCAGGAGTGCTCCCAGCCCACGTAAGTCCTCCCCGCCTGGCCCGAGGTGCTCCGTGGGAGTGGTCCCGGTACAAATCCCGGCTCTGACGCCTCCTCCGTGT